CACACACACACACACACACACACACACACACACACACACACACGCCCTCGTGGAAGCGCCATGGGTTACAGAGTAGAACTACCCCAGAAGATCTTCTTGGCGGCGATCTTTGCAGAAGCCAATTGCCAGGGGATGGCTCACTGCAGCATCACAGGGCTGCTTCAAACCACCACCCTTCTGGTCAGTAGTCGGTCACAGCTCTTTGTCCCACCCAGGGGCCCGCAGAGGATGTATAATTCCTTCAGCAATGAGCTGTGACAGCACGTGTCAACCATTGTCTACAAGGGAAGACCTAAGCAAGATTTTTTGGGGGGTGGGATGGGGGGTAGGATGTACCAAAATACCAGAAATCCAGAAGAGTAGCAGGTATTGACATTGTCTGTACTAATAATTTATATCGCGAGCCAGTTTGTGGTGGGAGCTCTCCTGAAATCCTAGGTTCTCAAGGGAGCCCAGAGCCATGCATACGAGCCTCGTAAGGCCCACTTGTTAACTTGCCTGCACAAGGCCTGTGCACTTGATCTTCTCTGTAGGGTGGGGACTGAAGCTAGTCTGGTATCTGACTTTTGGGGAGTCACCAATGGGTACCACCCCAGGGCAGGCACCACCATCGGATTACCCCTGTGTGTCCCGAAAAGTTGCCCCCCCCCCCTGGACATACATGTGGCTCAGCTGGGATGGGGCATCACCTAAAGGGTACGGGGACTCGGGCCCACCCACTTGCAAGGAAATGGTGGGTAGAGGTCTAAGATTGGGAACAAGAGAAACGGATTCTAGTTAAGTTCATCTTTATTGGAAGGATATGGCAGAGTGCACAGGAAGCAGGCTCGGGAATGAGGACAGGCCAGACCAGGACCCTTGGAGGCAGAAGTACTTGACAGGCCTGAGGAGGTGGCAACGACGAGAAACCCACTCCAAATAGTCCTTTCTTCCCTTGCTCCATGCTGTGCAAGACTCAAAGGCCCAGAAGGCCCAGCTCGCTGAGCCACGGTCACTGCCTACCCCAAGACTGGGGACGCAGGGCACTCTGACTGGGGGAGGGTAGGGTGGGGGTGTTCCAGGAGGAGAGAATAAATAAGGAGCGGCAAAAACGCCATGGTTGGGACACAGGGAAGAGCCTGGCTCAGGAGATCAGCACTGGTTCCATGTATAGCAGGCTTTGGGAGAGCGTAAAAAGTCCACTCAGCAGCAGGGGTCGTGGCAGGACGAGGTGCCACAGCAGGCCAGGCGGGGACATGCAGGGCTGCAGAGCAGGGACATGGAGGAGGAGGCAGGGGCACAGCAGGCGGGCTTGCACACGGGTTGGCAGATGAGGGACATGCAGGAGGAGGGTTTGCAGCAGGGGGGGCCACAGGGAGAGGGCTGGCAGCATGAGGAGGAGGAGCAGGGGCCGGCCCCACAGCAGACGGGCATACAGCAGGCGGGCTTGCAGCAGACGGGCATACAACAGACAGATGTGCAGCAGACAGGCTTACAGCACACAGGCATGCAGCACACTGGTGTGCAGCAGATGGGCACACAGCAGGGGGAGGATGTGCAGCAAGCAGGCTGGCAGCAGGAGGGCCCACAGGAGCTGGTGCAGACTGATTGGCAGGGGCTAGACCCACAGCTCACAGGACTGCAGATGAGGGTCAGGCAGGAGGCTGGAGCACAGCAGGAGGACTGACAGGTGGGGACACAGCAGGAGGACTGGCAGCAAGTGGGGACACAGCAGGAGGACTGGCAGCAGGTGGGGGCACAGCAGGAGGGCTGGCAGCAGGAGGGGACACAGCAGGTAGGGGCACAGCAGGAGGACTGGCAGCAGGTGGGGGCACAGCAGGAGGACTGGCAGCAGGAGGGGGCACAGCAGGAGGACTGGCAGCAGGAGGGGGCACAGCAGGAGGACTGGCTGCAGGTGGGGGCACAGCTGGAGGACTGGCAGCAGGTGGAGGTGCAGCAGGGAGCCTCGCAGTAGCTCTCTGGGCAGTCGTCCACCTCCCAGGAGGGGTCAGTGCGAGCATTGGGCATGCAGACCCGGCTGCCATAGCTCCTGTCGCTGGAGCAGATGGACCTGGTGGACGCAGCAGGAACACGGGTTCCGGAGCAGCAGCTGTCAGCCATGGTGGGTGGGAGGAAGTGAGCTGAGAGTGTGAGTGGGGAGGGTGTGAGTGTGTGGGTATTTAAATCCCTCTGTGTTGGGTGTGGTCCCAGCAGGAGGGATAAGTCTCCCTTCCTTGTTGTTTGCAGTTTGTGTAAACGGAGAACTCTCCTTAATGTCTGTGTAGTGTTTTGTTTCTTTTTTTTTTTTAGTGTTTTGTTTCTATCAGGTGCTGTTTATCCTATAAAATTCCGAGTGCTATTTGGGATTTTGTTGATCCATTCTAACCTGTGTTTGGCTCCAGAATGTAAAGCCGAGGGAGAAAGTCGGTGTGTCTGCAAACAGGGTCCCCCTTACAGGGTATCTGGGTGGGGGCAGGGTTGGCTGCGGAAGAATCCATCTGTCTGTCTTCATTCTGCTCTCCTTGGGTAGGACCCTTGGGATAACCCCTGTATACAGAACTGCTGCAGGTTCTAGGATTATTCGGGCTAGCCATCTGGAAAAACCCGGATCCCAGAGGGCAGGAGGGCTGATGTGCTTCTGAAGTGACTCACGGGGACTCTCGGGTGTAGGAAGGTCCCCTGAAGTCGTTAGGGCAGGGGGCCAACCCACAGGGATGAACAGTCCCGTGGTGGTATCTCCCATGAGGGGAAACAGGGGTCCCTGTGTGTAAATACGCACTCCTGTCTTTTGCCTTGATGCTCAGTGAGGGCCCAGATCCCTGTGTCTGGCCATAATCGTGTGTGTGTGTGTGTGTGTGTGTGTGTGTGTGTGTGTGTGTGTGTGTGTGTGGTGTGAACTGGGTGGAGGTTTACAGAGAAAATGATCAGTTTACACAGTTTACATGATGGATGATAAACACATTGAAACACATTCTGCTTCATCACATTGACTGCAGTCCCCACCATGGAACCTCCTTTATCCCACTCTCTCCCTGTCTTACCAGTTTTACTCCTTTCCTAACTTCTGAATTGTGTCCTTGGGTAACTGCCTCCTTTGGGACCTCAACTTGGCACTTAATCTAATGTCTTCCAGTCTCCCTGCTGTTACTGTTCCCCTCATAGACCGTCTGTTGCAGCCTGAAAATGGAGCGAATGGGGGGAGTTCGGCTCCAGACCCGAAAGACAGCTATGGGCTGTCGTCTTGGGAATGCCACCAGTCTACTGGGCCGGGAAGCCGGGTCTCACTTGTTAGTTTGCACCTGGTTCCGCATTCGTCTCCCACTAGATGCAGGACCTGCTAATGGGATCCCTCTCCGAGCGCTGACGGTGGTGGTTGGGCACCATCGAGTTCCTCTGGTCTCAGGATCATGGACACTGATGTTCCTGGGCCCATCAGCCCCTTGGACTCACTGTGTCCATGTCTTCACTGGACACATCCCTCTTCTTTCTGCTGGACAGAGAGATGTCCGGAGTCGTGCCTTGTTGGCCGCTCAGGAGCTTTTTCTTTTTAGAAAACAGGTGTGTTCACATGCGATTCACATCACACAATTCACTAGTTCAATCATATTAAAAAAGGGTTGATGGCCGTCACCACCCTCAATTTCAGAACACTTTCTTCTTTCTTGCACTTATTGTTGTTACCTCCCCATTCCCCCTCAGCCTCTCCTGCCAGACCCTCAAAAACCATTCAATTTAGTTACTACCTTTACCTATCCTGGATTTCGTAAACATAAAAACAGCATCGAGAACAAACAAAAACAAGATAGAAAACAGAAAATATTAAGAACTAGAACAAATTTTAAATGGGGCAAAAATTGTTTTTAAAACAAATTTAAAATGGGAGATAAAATAATGACAGGATGTTCAATTTTAACCTAACTGAATCTGCAAGAATCCACTTTTCAATGCACCCTGCATGATAGCAAAACCATTCATATGCCTGGTCTATGGTCAGAGTGGATTCACTGGAGGCTTAATTCCAAGTACCTGTCCCTTCACGTTTTAAAATAACCGAGACAACTTTAAAAGAGGTCAAAAGGGAGATCAAATGGTAAGGTATTATATTTTAACCTTACTACATAGGCCATATAAATAACTTTACCATGATCTCTGTATCATAGCAAGGCTATTCACATCTCTGGACTGTTCAGAAGAGATTCACCAGAAGCTTAATCTATGTGTGAACCCCGCAAATGGATCTTGGGCTTCACAGTCATCTAAAGCTTTCCACAAAGTGGGTGCTCACAATTTAAGCTCTGATACCATTCCCTCCTCCAGGTTTCAATTTTATGATTTGCAATCCTTGGATCACACAGGTGTGCTTCTTCCAGGTGGACTGAGTTGACTCCTCACTTAGATGGCTGCTTGTTTGAAGACAAGCCATGAAGACACCAGAGGCTCTTCTGTCTGTTAGCTGGGCACCATCTGGCTTCCTCACCACACTTTGCTATAGCACCCATATCATCAGTGCTATCTTCAGGAGGGTGAGCATCAAGCAGGGCCACGTGCTTGATGGGTAGTGTCCCTATTGTCATATATAAATATATTTATACATGTATGTGCCTGTATTTATACCTCTATAAATGTCCTTTGCCTCCTAGTTCTTTCCTCTATTTCCTTTTGCCTTCCTCTTTCGCACTCTCATGTTCAACCTTCACTTGGCTCTCAGTAATTCCTCTTGGCTACATTGCCCTTGATCAAACCCCACTAGGCAATCTAGAGTTCCTCCTCACCATCTATTTTAGATCAATTGTTGGTCCCTTGTCCCTGGGTTTGTTGGCTCCTTCCTTTCCCCCACCCCCTCCCCACCTATCCCCTTCTCCCCGGAACCGTTGGCCCCATTGTTTTCTCCT